TCTGCGGGGGGGGGGGGGGGAAGGGGTTTCAAATATTTTCCTTTCAAAGCGGAGCCACGTGCCAAGTTTCACACGTAAATGCCTGGCTCGCCAATAAAAAGTGAAAAACAACGGCAGTAAAACTTCCTGGTCAAAGGAAAGTTTGTCTGAATGGCGTTCACATCACAGTAAGTATAATTTGGCATAGAATAGACATAGGAGGCAATGATTTGTATCGGATGGAGCTGAGCGTGTAGCTGCTCAGAATTATACAAAGCTTAGGAGGCAATGAGGACAGGAAATCCCTTCTAGAAGTGATGGACACAACTCTGTACAAATCAGAGCGCCTCCTAGAATGGGACAGACAACTCCACAATTAAAATCATTTAACCAAATATAGTGTAGAAATGACAATACCACATGAAACAATCAAGAATGAAGAAAAGCCTGTTTGTTTCAGTAGCGTTATGCTATAAGAAAAACCCCGAGGCGATATAAGTTTTGGCCTCAGCTACTCCATTGTCTTAAAGTAACTTGAGTGCGCAATCTTTTCTCGGAGATTGCGACACCTCAATAATTGAACTATTATCCTGCGGTTACTTTCGGCCGTGCCCGCTTTTCACAGAGGAAGATAAAAGCAACGCCGTTAATAAGGACCTTTCCCTTTTGAAAAATCTAATGCCCAGTGAGGGCAAAGTAACCATGTCATGGTCTGCCAAAATCTCTGCAAGGTAGTGTATGCTCACCAATGCATGCACCTTTGCTGCCTCCAAGCTTCAGTAGTGCAATATGGGTAAGCTCCGGGTGGATGATGTTACTGACCGTTCCGTGAAAGTACCTTGGGGCTTGCTGACTGGTAGTTCAGGCCAAGGTACTGCCACATGGATGCGGTCTTATGCTTAACCATACACCATTAAACAGAGTGGGGAGGCAGCAAGGAAGCATGGGCAGGTGCATATTTGCTGCTGGTGGGCAATCAGGAGGCACTATAATTTTGGTACTCAATGGGCAAAGTGCTTTTAACCCAGAAGGGAAGGCAATTCCCTAGTAGTGAAACTAAAGCTGGTCCATACACCTATAGATTATCTGCAGATTTTCTATGGTCAGGTGGAAAAAAGTGCAACAGATTCCTTCCGTCTATGCTAAACTGTGCGTATGGAGGAATCTCCCACTGGGCAAGCGTCAGTAGTACCTTGCTAGCCGGCCCTGCTGGATCTCAAAACACCTAAATGGCTGGATCCAATCAGACTGTTCGGGTATTTTGAAAGCCAGCGGGGCCGACTAGCAAAATACTGAAGCTTGGCCTAGTGGGAGATTGCTCCATCCACACAGTTCAGCGTAGATGGAGGAATCTGTTGCACATTTTCCATCTGACCATAGAACATCTGCAGATAATGAATCTATAGGTGTATGGACCAGCTTTAGACTGCTCGCCATGGCTTCCATTACTTCCTCTTAGGCTGGGTTCACACCTAGGCGTACTGAATATGCGTGTCTGTCGCGCGTTTCCGTGGGCTACTTGGCTGTATCCCAATGGAAACGCGAGACAAAAACTCCCCAAAGTACATGTACTTCTTTGGGCGTAGGCCGTTTTGTATCGCGTTCGGACGGGCGGAAATACGGCAAGGTGTGAACCATACCTATAGAAAACAATGGGATTTAGATGTTTGAGCGTTTTGTAGAGCGTTCATCGAGCGTTGAATGTGCTACAAAACGTTGAGGTGTGAACCAGGCCTTAAGAGGAGCACAGAGGATCATTTTCTGGCTCCCAAAGGCAATAGACCTATTCTGGTGCTTTTTCAATAAAAAATAAATAAAATAAAAAAAATGAGGTTTTCGAAATAGTCCTAAAGTGATATAAATAGTGTAGACCTTCAGAATAATGCAACAAAGTTCTGGAAGTAAAGTAATTGTAACAAGCATACATCACTGTGAACAAGTCAAGCAGCGCCCTCCACAATGAATCTGCTTAGGCAGCAAAGCAGAAGTGAGGGGGGGGATGCTATTCTAGCAAAAGGAACAAAATTAATAATGTTACAAAACAAACCTTCAAATATTTTCCCTGCTCAATAAAAACATGTGGTGGGGGCTCAATGACTAATATCAAGTGAAATGTTAATTCTGGAACCAAGGAAATCGCAGCATAAGGATCTTACACATCATACATCAGTATCGCAGCACATTCATCTATTAGGCAAAACAGATAAAAAATTATTTGGGTGAGATTAGCCGCGGCAAAAGCGGGAATGAGGGGTTGATCTTTGACTTCCACATCTACAATCACCTAGTAACACATTATAAAACTGGCCACAAAAATGTACTGCGCATCAATCCCGATGACTGCGTACAGACACGACCTTTAATTGGAAAGACATGACTCTTACATTGCACAGAAAAGCACAGACAACAAGGGTGCTTATACTCAATATCAGGGACATGCTTGTATGTGGGATTTTGCTAATGAAATATCATGTGCTTCCTATACTACAAGGTCAATGTATGTGGACCCCTGACCACCAGACGTATACGAGCTTGCTGGACATCCCAATCCAAAGCCATAGACATCAAAACAAGTGATTTGACTTTATAAAGTATTAAACCCTCATTAAGGTTAACATTTCCCTTGCATAGCCTAAGCCCTCGTTCACACCTAGGCGTATTGCATATGCGTGTCTGTCGCGCGTTTTTTTTACCGCAATTCGCGCGATTCCGAAGGCTACTTGGCTGTATCCCAATGGAAAACGCCCTACAAAACGGCCCAAAGTAGTACCTGGACCTTTTCAGGCGTGGGCCGTTTTGTAGCGCGTTAGGGACGGGCGGAAATACGCCAAGGTGGGAACGAGACCATTGACTACAATGCAATTTATATTTTTGACCGTTTTGTAGAGCGTTCGTCGAGCGTAGAACTCGCTACAAAACGGTCAGGTGTGAACGAGGGCTTACAAGCACACACAAGGGTGGCTCCTTAGGACCCTGCAAGGGAAAGGAGCACTCCTGAAACAGAATATCAGGACCAGGTTAATGCAAAAAACTCTAACCTACAAATCACCCAACCTTGCCTGCAGTTCTCTAAACGTCAGCTGGGTGCGCTCACAGTCCAATCATAGGATCCATGACTATTCGTTTTGGTTGATTATACAAAGCTTCATTTATCACTACACTTTTGAGTAGCCTGAGATTTGTTTTACTTTTACCTTTCATAAAATGTGTGTTATTACCCTAACCCCCAGATCACCAAACCATGCCTACAGTTCTCTAAACTTCAGCTGGGTGCACTAACAGTCCAATCATAGGACTGCCTGACCCCCTGACATATGGCGCGCGCACACACATTGGAGCAGAGATCTGTCAATCTATAGCTGATGAGCAGAGGAGCCCTTTGGTATTGAGCAACCTGTGCGCAGCTTTACACACAAGTGTTTGCAGCTGTAGTGCCAGTCAGGAGCATGCGCATAAGATTTACCCTTACTTCCTGTCCTTGTGACACAAACCAATAGCAAACAGTTAAAGGAAGTCTCCCTCTACAGCAGTGGTTCTCAACCTGTGGGTCGCGACCCAAAAGGGGGTCGCAACCCACAGTTGAGGGGGTCCCCATGTGCCTTGTGCTGCTCTAGGTAAGAGGCTCCTCAGCCTCCTCCTAGCGCAGCAGTGTCAGTTCTCCTAGATGGCGCTGCAGCAGCAGCGGCCGGGGAGGATCAGAGAGAGGGGAGCAGGCAGGAGTGAGGGGAGGTGAGTGCTTGATAACCACAGAGCCCGCACTGGGCACCACAGAGCATGCACTGGATGCCACCAGAGAGTCCCACAAGCCACCTGAGAGCCCGCAGAGCCTCCTGAGAGCCCACACAAATACTAGTATTGGTGCATCCCTAAATTTTATGGTTGGGGGTCACCACAACTTGGCAAATGATACCAAGAGGTCCCGACCCTAGAAAGGTTGAGAACCACTGCTCTACAGGTTCTACTTACATCAATCATTTTAAAGTGTTTTGCCTCAGGATCAGCTCCAATCATTCTTTTTTAAATTTGTATTCAAGTAACTTTATCAACCACGAGAAGTTAAGCGATTACCTTTTCTCTGCAGGAATATCCGCAGTAGCGGGTTGGCGGTCGTTATCGCTTTATTGTAGTTGTCGTCGTTGTTGATGGGCAGCAAGTCCCCGTGAATATCGGCGTAACCAATCAGAACATCCACGTTGGGGATCTTATGCACATGCTGGAGTAATCCATAGAACTCCTCAAACTTCCCCGGCTTGGTTCGTTTGAGAGCAAATCGCCGAAATTCTGCGCCGAACTAAACGAGGAAAACAAAAACGCTGTGATTAGTACAGAGATACTCGCAGGAAAGATTAAATTATACAATTTCCATCTTTCTGCCGCAGGCACAGAAATCATTCCCCTTCAATTATTATTCTTACATTGACACATTTGAATGCGACAGGATCAGCTTGTGTCTATTGGATAACCCTAGTCACATGGTATGCTATACCTATGTCAACTCAGAGGTCTCTTCCCCTTATTTTGTGTTTCATCACTTCAATAAGAACCTAAAATGATCATTTTTCTCTGAGGAACTCAATATGTTCTATTGGTGGAGAAAAGATTTAACCACAAAGGGCGTAGGGGATTCTTTTCAGTTAGAGCGGTTACATTTTGGAACTCGTTGCCACGAGCAGTGGTATCAGCAGAGTATTGATTCTTTCAAAAGGGCATTTAGATACCTTTCTGAGACCCCATAACATAAGGGTACAGGTACTCAAAAGCTAGACCACGAAGGGACTTGTGTGCACGCACATGCACAAAGGTTGAACTTAAAGGAGAACTATGAGGCGAGTGCTTTTCTCTCACCTCATAGTTCTAGCCGACCTGTGACAATGAGACTGTCACAGGTCGGCTCAGTAGATCGGGAGGTGAGCGAACACATACCGGCGTTCGCTCACCTCTCGATCCTGTCACGGCTCTCTGCCGTGACAGGGGAGGGGCTGGATTCCCCCCCTCCGATCCACCAGCGCTGACTGGCGGAACGGACGGGGGAGGGGGTGGGTACAGCTGGCTCTGCCTCTAGATAGGCAGAGCCAGCTGTCAGTCACGCAGCTGGGCGGATCCCGGCACAATTGTCGGGATCCAATTCAGCTGCGGCGTCTCAGTATATAGGGAGCTACAGCTCCCTATATACTGAGCTTAGGGTGACGGGAGGACGCTAGTTTGTATCCTCCCGTTACCCTTAGTAGAACTATGGGGAAAAGCCTTAAACCCATAGTTCTCCTTTAATGGACCTGTGTCTTTATTCAACCTCAAATACTATAACTATTTAGAAAATAAAAACATTTGAGCTTTCTTCTTTTGTTTTCAGTTTTGTTTTGATAAATTTGTTTCATTTTGTATTGTTTACACACAGGTAATGTTTATTTTCCCCCAGAGAGAAACTGAAACTGCTTTTCGGTCCAGATGAGCCCAGCAAGGTGCATCAGTAGTAGAATCCCTGTAAGTTATTTGCTCAGAATATGTACGCAGTATACAGTGAAACGATTGGAGAGGGTGTGAAAGCTTTCTTTGACAGGTACAGATAATTGATCAGACATCAGGAGCCAGGCAGACTGATACAGGAGCCAGTGTGACGAATTAAGGTGCCGGCAGAGCGGCGTGCCCATTAAACAGAAGAGAAATATGTACACAACACAAAGTTGTTCAAACAAATAGAGATAATGGGACTTTCCTTTAAAGAACTCTGAGCTGTATTTACAGCAACATAATAAAACTATAGCAATGTATTTAAAGAAAAAGCTTTCTACAGAGGAAAACATTTATGGCGGGGTTGCCAACCTTGCCTTCCAGCTTTACGTAAAACTACAAATCCCATTGTTCTATCTCCGGGAGTCAAGCCTATGGCTGTCAGTCTTGCAAAGCCTTATGGAACTGGCCTAAGCTTGATTTATGGGAGTCAGAGAATGAAAGTTAAAATCTAACCAAAGCTTGAATGGAAAACATGCACAATGTTTGATTTTTAAAGCTGGCTGTGATGCTATTATATTTTTCTTTAAGATTTTACATGTCGTCCCTGCCCACACAGATCTTCCTGCACCAACACCTGCTCCCAGTACAGGAAGTGAGGGTAACTTCCCTTACTCCTTTAGCAGGGGTGGGCAACTCCTGCCCTCCAGCTATGCTTCATCTACAAGTCCCGCCATGTCTCTGCGAGTCATGCCTGTCACTGTCAGTCTTGCAATGCCTCATGGGTCTTGTAGTTTCACAACAGCTGGAGGGCCAGAGTTGCCTATCCCTGACTTATAGGGACAACAGATTGCAATACATTTATTGCACAGGTTCTATGCCTTCCTTAGTCTTTAAAGGTTTAGTATTGCTGCCCATTTCCCTCTTACATTTCCTGTTCTGCCTGACCCCTATCAGACAGCAAGATTCTCCTTCAACCCATCCAGTAGATTGGCCGGGAAGCCAGCTCCATCCTGTTTAGCTGGGAAGCCGGCTTCTCTGCAATTCAACATTGAGCCAGCTAATCAGCATCTAGCCGGCCAAACAGCATCTAGCTGGCCAAACATGGAGCAGGCATCCCCGGCAATCAAGAAGCTGGGCGGCAGGTAATGACACGCCACCTGGCTTCCTGATTGGCCAGGAAGCCAGCTCCATGCTAGGGGAAGTACCTGTATCGGTACTGGTGGGAACCAAAAGATAAATATCGGTACTCGACACCGAACAACAGTGCATACCTAATACATGACCTGGATGAATGAGAACCTCCACAAGCATAGGCCAACATGAATGTACAAAAAGAGACCAGGGCCAAACAATAGCACACTGGAGCTGGTTGAGAATATTCATAACAAGTGCACCCTCAGTCTTAAGATTCCCAGATGCTAGCAAAGTACATGAACATCCCAGGGTAGGAAATTAAATTCAAGGGCCAGTCTGAGCGATCCAGGAGCCAGCAGCATTATGATAATGAGCCATTGACAACTACATACAACCTCAAAGGTAGGCACCAGCTGTAAATTTAAAGGAGCATTGGCTACCTGGAAGTGTCCAGCCCTGTGGACATCACTAATTGAGGCACTTCTAAATGACCACTGTCCAAAAATTCCTGCTCAACACTTTTACCCATCAAAGGGCAACTTCAACTAGGCTGAAAAAGCAAAAATATCCAATAACTTCAGCCTATGATGAGAAAATGTGCGTGGCACTTGTGCAATGAAAACCATAATTACGAGGGGGGGCGACAGCAGTTTAGATCCAGCAAAAGTCGAAACAAACTCATGGGCTTCCGCGTACAAAAATTCCTTCCCGTTCCTAAAAAAAAAGCCACCGAGGATAGTACAAAGATCAAAACTACTATTGTTCCCAACTTCACAGATGTTGGGCTTTTAATCTGGACACGTTATCACTTGCTCTTTTATATTTCCCAAGCTGAAACGTAGGTACCCCCAGTCTCTTATCTGAGAAGTTCCATTTGATGGTCTCAACCCTGATAAGTTTCTGTTTTCCAGTGAGTCATGGCAAGGAAACTCTTACTGTTTATCAACTAGAATCCTACGTAGGCAGTCAGAACCTTCTGTACAGCACCGACTCCTCCTCCGGGTGCCGGCTCCACACACATCAGACACACCTAGCAATGACTAAGAGGTCAACACACAGGAGTGAGAAAACACATACAGCAAATAAAAGGAAGCACAATACCTCCAGCCTGAGTCAGGCAGATGGACATAAAACACACATACACTAAATGGCTTAAGACGCATACCTCAGTCGTACCTCATCTAGAAGGTTATTGCACGTTCCGTTCCCGAGGTATGCAAGTAAATTCCAGAAAAGGAACAAAGGATGACCTTTATTTTTCTTTCCCGGTACAGATACCCTCATGCTAAACGTCACTCCACCCAAAACCAATATTTCAGTAGACTTAAACGTGTTACTTAACGCCCCCACGTCTCCGAAGTGGGAAGGAACATCGGGGATTTTACGCAACATATTACATTTACCTATATGCAGGCTGCATACAAGTGATAGCGGCAACGTCACCCAGGTCAATGGTACAAAACGAGCGGCGGCTTTCCCGTTCTACATTTAGCTCTGCTTTCCCAAAGCAGGGCTAAGTGTAAGGAAAAATACCGGCCCGGCGGCCCGAAACTGCATGTACATGGCACTTCCACACCCCTGCTACCCCAAGGCCGGGCCTCGGTTGGCCTCGTGGGAAATCCAGCCCTGCAGCTACCAGAGAGCAAGGAACAGTAAATGTTAAACCTTATAGGAACACATCCAGTCCTGTTCAAGTAGAGACGACAGACACAGGATGAGGATAACCGTGTATATGGCAAAGACTACTTGAGCTGTAAAGATTTATGTATACTTACATTACTTCAGCTCAGCACACTAAGTAAACATAATTGATCTTTGGCAGGGCCATGGGGTTCCTGTAAGACTTGAGTAGTTGCAGCTACTACAGCGCTTTACATTATCTTCTAGGCCCTGTGCTGAGCGACTTCCCAGCTGCTGAGCAAACACAGGAGGTCCTTCGCTCAGCAGCCAATCAGCAAACGGAGAGGGGGATTAATCAAAACTGGTGCAGACAACATCTGGAGCACCTGTGCATGGTAACCAGCTTCTTTCGTTCATTTTCCACTCTTAACTGATCTGGAGAAGCCGATTGGTTGCCATGCACAGCTGCTCCAGTTTTGATAAATATCCATCTTCGTATTTATCAATGGATACAAGGCACTCTCTGATTGGTTAATAGCTACGGGCTTCTGTTGTGTTTCCGTACCTTTGATAGGGCTGCCTCCGGGTGAGCCTGCTGTTTGTGCATTGCTATAGATGTCCCATAGGTAAACCCAGATCGTTTAGACCAGGGCTGGACAAATCCCAGGAGCCAGGTCGCCAATGGCCCACAAAATAAATACAGCTGGCACCTAACTTGTTATGTTCTCTAGTTGTCATTGGAGCAGTCTCTTCAAGAATGCTGCTGAATTACGGTTTGGACAGACGAGCTCTGGAATGTCATACTAGCCTGCTGCACCCCCCAAAGTTTAAAGTTAAGCCATACACTAGGCAAATTTCAGTTCATGAACCAGCCAAAACTCACACAGTGGGTACCCACTGTCGTCATCCTTCCGGCCGGCATCCCTTGATCAGAAGATTAAAAGGAGCCGGTTGGAAAATGTTCAAACGCGGCTTGCAGTCAAACAGCTGCAAGCACAGTTCGAGTATTCTGACAGTGACCGCGGTCATAACACAAAAGGAGACAACGGGGGATTCCCCCATCAAGGCTAAAAGAACGGAGGAATC